TCGGTTCTCGTCTTCGTTCTTCTCCGTTCTTCTGTCATCGGTTTTCGTCTCTTTTCTTCTGGTCTCTGTTTTCTTGTTGTCAATTCTTCTGTCATCGGTTCCTGTCTCTGTTATTCTGTTATCGGTCCTCGTCTCTTTTTTTCTGTTATCAATCCTCGTCTCCGTTGTCTTGTCAGTTCTGTTATCGGTGCTTGTCTCTGTTCGTTTGTTGTCAGTTCTTCTGTTATCGGTCCCTGTCCTGTTCTTCTGTTATCGGTCCCTGTCCTGTTCTTCTGTTATCGGTGGACGTCTCTGTGTTGTCAGTTCTTCTGTTATCGTTCCTTGCCTCTGTTTGTCTTGTTGTCAGTTCTGTTACCCTGTCAATTCTTCTGTCATCGGTTCCTTTCTCTGTTATTCTGTTATCGGTCCTTGTCTCTTTTTTTCTGTTATCAATCCTCGTCTCCGTTGTCTTGTTGTCAGTTCTTCTGTTATCCGTCCCTGTCTCTGTTCTTGTGTTATTGGTCTTTGTCTCTGTTCGTTTGTCGTCAGTTCTTCTGTTATCGATCCCTGTCTCTGTTCTTCTGTTATCGGTCTTTGTCCTGTTCTTCTGTTATTGGTCGACGTCTCTGTTTGTTTGTTGTCAGTTCTACTGTTATCGGTCCCTGTCTCTGTTCTTCAGTTATCGGTCGACGTGTCTGTTTGTTTGTTTGTTGTGTTTGTTCGTTGTCAGTTTTACTGTTATCGGTCACTGTCTCTGTTCTTCTGTTATCGGTATGTTCGTTTGTTGTCGGTCCCTGTCCTGTTCTTCTGTTATTGGTCGACGTCTCTGTTTGTTTGTTGTCAGTTCTACTGTTATCGGTCCCTGTCTCTGTTCTTCTGTTATCGGTCGACGTGTCTGTTTGTTTGTTGTCAGTTTTACTGTTATCGGTCACTGTCTCTGTTCTTCTGTTATCGGTGCTCGTTCTCAGTTCTTGTACCCGTTCTTTCTTCTTTTATCAGTCGTCGTCTTCGGTCTTGTACTTTTGGTTCGTGTTACCTGATCCGTTAAGGTCTTTTCTTGTATCTATCGTTGACGTCATTCTGTGTCGATGTCCTGGTTTTGTCAGTCTTGTAGTCATTCATTCGTTCAGTGGAGTAGCGGGGGATCGAACTCACGACCCCTTGATTTGAAGGCAGACAGTGTTACCACTGCACCATAGCGCCCGCTCTGAATAATAACCATTTTTGAAAGTCCTTTATACATTTAATACTATTTCAATGGCTAACAAAGGGTGTATTACAATTATATTTTAACACCTCTACAATGTAGCCAACCCACGTGACTTTTATATACGGTCAAAGAAAATATTACTCGATTTATTACAAGTAATATTTTTATAGATAACTTTGCTGTTACTTTAAGATATCCTGGAAATTTATTGGAGGGTACCCGGAATTCTAATGTATATCAAATGATGTGATAATCTTCTTGTAGAATTTTCTCAAAACCGTGACTGAATTCTAAAATTTTCGAGAGCTGCCACGGTAAAGCAAGCACACGTAGCAATCTGCCCTGTTTTCAGACATTTTACGACTTGATGAAAATACTAGATCTTTGTCGTATTGACTGAAAGACTCCATGATGTATAAATACACTAATGATATAGTTGCCATACCAATAGAAGATCATCTTATCCCATGAGGGAATGTCTCGCAACATGCCTACATGATTAGCTATAGGATAATCTAAGTCAAGACAGACTACTATACATGAACTGGAACAGCCTATCCACTCTAAACCAGTCCAATATTAGCAAATTTGAGCATATCTCACCATAAAAGAGTGCAAAACTGTTTTTACTTTTATCACAACCTTCAATTTTTCCACTGTAAACTTGTAGGTATATAATACATGTATCTTTTATACGTCTTCTTTTATTTCACTCTTTTCTTAGTGACTTGACGCGCCACTGTCTACATCCTCGCGGGGGGACGAAAAGGAAGAAAATGGACATTTTTATTATTATTTCTTCTCATGAGGGATAATGAATGAATAATTCCTTTTCTATGTTTGTTGAAACTCAACTTGAGACGTGACGACATTGAACTTCCTGACATTTAGAATGTATGAGCACACACCTCTTGATATTAGGAAGTTTTATTTTGAATTAAGAGGTAAACAACGTAACCTGAAAACAATGTATTTGAGATCATTGAACAAACGGAGAAGGTTTAGTAACAAAATGGCAAAATATGTAATTCCTCATCAGAAATTTTATCACAACTATAATATAAATGTCATTTTTGCTTGTTTTTATTATTTCTTCGTTTTCTGTTATTACATAGTGTTCCCCCTTCCAATCAGACTAGTCCACATGTTTTATTGCATCGTATAATTGAGTCTGGTTCCCTGCCTTCAGAAGTGCTAGAGGAAGAAACTCCGTATAGTCTGTTTTAAGGTTAAATTGTCTGGTGTTGTTATGTAATTGAACGAAGTAAGCGAGTGGTAGTGAGTGACCATGGGTTTTCATTGTTAAATAGTTTGAAGTGCAATTTACCAAGGTATTATCAGAATAAAATTTTAAGTTAAGTCAGCTTCCGACTTCTTTATACTTCTACTCCTGTTTATAACCATGTTTCTAAATTTAGGGTTGTTCAAGAAGGAATTTTGGTAGGCTAAACTAATTGTTAATATTAATCCTTTGTTTTCTGTAATTGCATAGTGTTCCGCTGTCCAATCGGACAAGTCCATATGTTTCATTGCATCATTCTTGAACCAGTCTGGTTCCCTGCCTACATTTACTACGTGTCACAAATGTCCAGCTTGACCGGGATTTGAATCCAGGACCCTCGGAATACCGTTCCGCGGCTCAACCGACTGAACTATCCGGTCGCTTACCCCTGTCTTCTCCTCAAAATAGTTGATAGTTCTGAACCGTGACATACTCTCCGCTTTATTGAAATTCGTCCCCGAATTTCTCAGGGTTTCAGAGCAATGATATTAAATTCGGAGCTATATTCAGTCACGGCCCACGTTGGCGCCCAATGCCAGAGGGTGAGAAAAATGTGCAGCCTGACCGGGACTCGAACCCGGAACCCTAGGAATACCGTACCGCGGCTCTACGGACTGAGCCGGAACCCTAGGAATACCGTACCGCGGCTCTACGGACTGAGCTATCCAGCCGCCTACACATTACAATAGTGACAGAAAGACAGTGCGATGGCGCAACATGACATACGATGTACTAGTCGTGCTTCGCCATGGTACTGTCTAACTGCCACCGTTGCCCTAACTAATAGATCAATGACTCCTTTTCTACTGAATATCATTGCTTCTTATTTCAACTAATAATTAACAATATTCAGAATAACTGCAATGATTTTCCATTCTTTTTTTTACAACGGTTTATTATAACCGTTAGTAAAAAATTTTTTGCATTGCTCCAGTTTGCTGATTTATTTATCGTCTGGTCGTTACCAAAATATGCGCATGATTAACTTTATCAAGCGACAAATTGTTTGTTTTGAAGCTGCCCAATGTGGCTAAATGATCAGTAATTAACACATTATTGTGAACAAATATTTATTTTGCCTATGGTGTCCAGACAATTTTAGCTTTTCCATGGTGTATGGATAAGTAACAATTTACGAACAAGCGTGTCTTTTGCCTGTGGTGTTCGGACAATTTAGGCTTTTCCATGATGTTTTTAGACAAATATGTATTTTGCTTGTGGTGTTCAGACAATATTAGTTTTTCCATGGTGTTTGGATATTAAGCATTATAACGAAAAAATATGTACTTTGGCTGTGCTGATCAGACGAATGTAGCTTTTCAATGGTGTTCTGATATAAGCGTTATTACGAACGAATATGCATTTCTGTGGGTGTTCAGACAATAGGTGGCTTTTCAATGGAGTTCGGATATAAGCGTTATTACGAAGTCAACAAATATGCATTTCTGTGGTGTAAGACAATAGGTGGCTTTTCAATGGTGTTCTGATATAAGCGTTATTACGAACGAATATGCATTTCTGTGGGTGTTCAGACAATAGGTGGCTTTTCAATGGAGTTCGGATATAAGCGTTATTACGAAGTCAACGAATATGCATTTCTGTGGTGTTAGACAATAGGTGGCTTTTAAAACATTGCTGTTATATATAATGTATAACTACACATGGATACATAAATATACTGTCTGACGTCCAGACATATATGAGTGTTTATGTTTAGAAAAGCTAAATCAATTTTCCCGTTTAAATTTAACATAAAAAAATACACGATAAAAGGAAACCTACTTTTTTATCACAATATTCCCTTCTCAAATGATACTCACAATTTAAGCACTTAAGTATTTAAATATAAAATGAAATAAAGTGTTAGTTTTAAAAAAGGTAAAACAACGGTCTATATAAACAACTTAAAATACACATGTTGACCGTAGCTATAACGACCACTGGCTGCTGATAGCGACCACTGGCTGCTGATAGCTGCTTCTCTCTCTGCGACCCATTAGTGAGAAGTCCATCTTAGTATCTAATAACATTGATAATTAACAAATTCGGAAGATTACGAGATAGATTTAGTTTTAAAAGATATAAGATTTTTCTACATCTATAAATAGAGTTTTAACCTAGTAAATCTAGTTTGTCCAATGATAAAAAAATTCCGCAGTAGCCACCTTTTTTGACTTTAGTGATCACATAAGTAGCAGTTAATTTAACAGGTTTATTTTACTTAACTTTATTAGAGTGATTACATATATTACTACTACCTCCTTCTCTGTTTTATAAACGCATTTTCCTTCACCCTTTTTCTGCCTTTAGCTCATCTAACCATTAACCATTTTCCAAAATCTTGATGTATTCATGTACAACGCATTTAACGCATCATTCGTAAGAATACTCGAATACACTGAAGCATATTAATGAAGCACGCCCGCATGAAAGCAGTATTATAACGAGATTTTTATATGATTTTATAAAATGGTTTTATGTCGGATTTATTTCGTACATGTAATTAACATGCTATGACTCTTTTTACAGTGCCTATAGTACCGAACTTTATCCTTAAGTTGGAACAACAGTCTGAACCTAAACGCAATGTCACGGAAATAGACATAGTTTGTGAAGATAGAACTATTCTCAATGACGATCAAGTCATTGGCTTTAATATTAGTGATATACAATTTACTACCAAAAATCCCAAAGAATGTAAAAGTGAAAGAAACGAAACTGCCGAAAAGATACTTAAAAAGGAAGCGAAGGAAGAGGAATACGCGGAATATGGGGACGCCAACGTTAAAGCAGGTATCATGTTCGGATCTAAAGCCCTTGTACAGATGCTGTTCAATCCATTTGTTGGACCCATTACGAACAGGTCTGTAATACTAGTAGGTTTCAGCGATCATAAACACTTTTTTGATAATTACTATTATACATTTTTATTTTGTTTACTTGTTGAATTTTGATAACTTATCACTTATACATTATTATTTTTTTAATTCTTTACTATTTTAACAATATATTTTCGTAACATGATTTTTCGGATATTATTTAAAAATCTTCTTCATAGTTTAAATGGTTTGTAATTTTATCATAAACGTTTTGGCAGAAAATGTAAATAGAAGATTTGCTTTGTAGTATTGCCTATAAACAAAATCAGTTTAACATGTAAATCATGAAGGGTTCCCAAAGTTTGTGTTGCTATAAATTTAACAAAAGTCCACGTAGAATGTTATTTCCGAAAAGTATGACACATTATGTTCTATGCTCACGGAAAAGACCGCCAGTCAATCCGTACCGTTGGGCCCGAGAAATAATTGACTATTGAAATTTTTTAAAAACACATTTCTATTGAACATTTTAGCATCTTGGCTTTAGCACGCTGCTTATTTTAAAGAAAGACAATCAATTTAAGTTGCTATAATAATGCCTTATTTCTCGAGAAGTGTATTTATTTGTATCTGTTAATAACAATTATCGAATTTAGCAACAACAACAAAAAACAGGTAATGTGCTAGGATAAAGGATACAGTTTAAAGTCTTTGCTAATTTTTTGTCATTGATATCGTTGTAGGATCGGCTATACTATACCGATGTTTACCGGCTTCGTTATAATGATGACATCAACAGTAAGTAAGTACAGATGCCCGGCTTACAGGCATTAATTCCTATCTTGCTAATTTGAATTCGTATAGTGCTCTGTAGCGTTAGGGAAATTATTGCCAGGGAGTGCGAGATACAAATAATTCAATATGTCTTTTCTCAATGATTTACGTTGTTATAATTGTATTCAAAGATACTTTGATCTCATGATATGTTAGCTTTACAAATATTGTCTTATTAAAAGATACGTCTGTATGCTACAAATTTCATTAGTTGTTTTTTTGCCACTCATACTGAAAGATGCCCAAATTAAACATGTAGATATACGAGTTTTAACAGGTTAAATGGCCCAATATGAATAAAGTGTAAGCTATTACAATCCAAGTTTATATATAAAAAACCCGTTTATAAATGACTATGTAACCTGTCAAAGGTAACATATCTTTAAAATTGCTTAATTGTGTTTTGATTCCATTACACACAAATTAATGCAGTTACAATGTAACGTTGTACTAAACATGTTTTACAATACATGTAAATATATACATACATTTTAAACAAATATCACGATTGTTCAATGTAAATCGATGTTAACAATTCTAGGAAGATCTAACTTAATTAAAGGCATATTAAGCCACAGCAATGGTATAAAGTTTGTTTTCTCCTATGTTTTTTATCTTTGGCATCCTGTTACGGTGTCCAGAAAGTTACTAATTGTCAATAGAACTGAATCATCCTCTGCTTCTTTTGCAAAATACCACTTTGTTTACATTTCGGTTACTTTAAGACTCAGTACTACCTTCCTTAGACTCATCAAACATGCTCTTGATACATTATGATAAAAAACACATAATGCTAGTTTTGAAGAAGACAAAAGTACTCAATTCTGAGGGTTAATGTGCATATTACATTAAGCTAATTTCTATAAGTACCCAAGTGCTAAGTAATTATATTCTTGCATTGCATTCAATATACTTGTTAGTTAATAATTATCACAGTTTAAATACGCTACTTGATTATCGATCATACTTCAATGTAACGGAGAAACTGATGTTTGTCTAAGAAAATGTAAATGTTGCTTATATAACGGTTTCATTACTTTTGTTTCAGTATTTGCTTTTGGAGAAACCTATGCAGTTTTATTTGTTGCCAGAGCATTCCAGGGCATTGGCTCCGCTTGCTCAAGTGTTGCAGGTAACATTCTAGAAAGTTTATATAAAATATAAATTAAATATATAAATTATGCTTTACGTTTGAGAGAATATGCTTGCTGGGATGTACATGTATTTATGGTTTTCAAATGAAAGTATGGTAATATATAATCAACAGAGATCCATTGATTCATCTAGCAACGTGTATTCTACATTAGCGGATGCACTTAAATGTATATTATTTACTTTTTCAAAGCTAATTGTGCCACATTTTTTTATATTTAATTACAAAAATACACATGTATCGTTATTGAAAAAAGGTCACACATGTTATGTCATCGTACAAACAAATAATATATCTTAATTTGATTTGTGGTCTTCTAAAACATATATAAAGAACACATAAAAATAACATCAAACAACAACAACAATTATTCCATTGAGTCAATTAAGATTTGGTTCTACAACAAACAATAATTTGATTTATTAGACAAATCGTTCAATGAATGATATCCACCCAGGTTCTTTCAGAATATCTTGATTTCTTATTTGAGATATTTTGCTTTAAACCATCATGGTAGATCTTGTTTGTATTTAAACTGATTTTAAAGACCTAAAATTTTCATTGCTCCAAACAGCACAGCAATTATCAAAATTAGACATGTATGCATCATAAGACAACTGTTTCATTTAGTCTGTCGAATAATTAGAAATGCGTCTGTTCAGCGTGAAACAAAGGACTTCGATTTGTAAAGGGCTTCGATTTGTAATTCCAGGACAAGGGGCGTCCGTGGCCGAGTGGTTAGGGTCGTTGACTTCAAACCACTTGCCCCTCACCGCTGTGGGTTCTTTGGATTCTTTCATGTGAGGAAGCTATCCAGCTAGCTTACGGAACGTCGCTTGTTCTACTCAGGTGCCCGTTCGTGCCTCTCACGTTTACAAGCAATGCCTTAATAACAATGGCTTTTTACTGTTGTACGGATTTTTTTAATTTGATAGGCTCCATTGGAAAAGATGGCAATACAATTTTGTTTAAAATACGCCTACACTATACTGATATAGAATTTTGCTTATTATAAATATGTAATATTTTATTTAAACCAGGAATGGGGATGTTAGCTTGCCGGTATACCGACGACGACGAGAGAGGGCGGGCAATGGGTATCGCCCTAGGTGGACTTGCCCTCGGTGTACTCAGTAAGTATGCATTGTAGGAGCACAATTGTCTCACGAGGTGTGACCGATCTGCTCGTAAACATTCTTATTTGCGACAATTGGAAATGAGACAGCAGGACACTTGAAGCACATTTGTCTCACATTCTTCCATAAAATTCTAAAAAGATAATAATTATTCCCGTCCGTATTCCGGCTACCAGCCATTGTTCTGTGTTTTCTGTATTTATAATACCGTTTTAGGTCACTTCCGGTCAATCAAAAACTTCCCGCCTCTGCATATGAGTCACATATTAACTTAAAGAATATCCCTGTTCTGTGTGTCACAAAGAAAATCTGAAGCGAGTCCATTTTTATCTTAATTAATTTTGACACGTTTCTTTCCGATGCTTAAAGTTTTATAAGTGATTTCAGAAATATTCTAAGCAACAACAAGTATCTTCATGGCATAAAGGGTACATAGGATTTTTTATTTATTACGTGTGTACATGATAGCTATAACGTGACCACGCGATACTAGTACGTGCGCTCGCGATAGCTATTACGTTCTAAAGGGATAGTCCCGTTACGTGTGCACGAGATAGCTATTATGTGGCCATGCGATACTATTACATATGCACGCGATAGCTATTACGTTCTATAGGGATAGTTCCATTACGTGTGCACGAGATAACTATTACGTGGCCATGCGATACTATTACGTGCGCACGGATAGCTATTACCTTCTAAGGGATAGTTATTGCGTGCGCACGCGATAACTATTATGTGAGCACGCGGATAGGTATTTTGCATTTGGACCCTGGACCGGCTTCCTCGCATGAATAGTTCGACGCTCCGAGTGTCGAACCTACAGCGGTTAGGGGCAAGTGGTTTTTTGAACTCACTCGGACACGGAGACCTTTAAATGATCTAAGGAAAAAAATGAGACGACCATCCCACACGTATTTTGTTTTCATCAGAAATACATGTATATAAAAAATCGCCATTTTCCGAGAATTGCTGTTTCAGATCCACCATTGAAAAAGCACATTCAACGTGCATGAGTTCCTAAACAAATCCGGGTAATTCTATATTTATGGAATATCGGAACTCAAAGAATCGGGCGAGACGCGACATTTCCGACGAAACACGAAGCGCGGCGCGATATTGTAACACGAGATCTTGCAATGCCGAAGTATCCCGTACCGCGAGATTTCCAGGTAGAATATCGTGCTTCGCTTCATGTTTTGCCAGAATTTCACTTTTCGTGTCTCTCGCGCATCGCTTCGTGTCTGTGCTTCTCAAAGGTCTGACTGAACCAATGCGGGAGCCCTCTTGGCTTGTCGCGTAATGGCGGACAGGTTATTGGACAATTTTTTTTCACGCTGCATGGCCATAGATGTCTAAATTTAAGCTATTTTCTGTTTAAATTTCATCACGGATATGTTTTTGACATTTTGGTAGAAAAAAAATGCGAGCAAAGGTTGTATTTGATAAAGTGAATTGGTGGTTCTTCCACGTCACAGCAGAGATTTTTTAAGTGATTTGACAGTAACAAATGTGACGCTAGCAGGCTTGGGGTAATGATACTGGTAATGGTTATGCGGTAGGAATGCATTACTTTTCTTGAGAGTAATGCAATGTAATGATACTGCATGCCAATTTGCATTACTTGTAATGGTACTGGGATGCAAAAAGTTCAGGTATTCTAACACTATCGGATTTTTTTCTTTATAAACAAAGACGGCCCGAAGCGTGCATTATTCTACATTCTAACACGACTCGCATTTTCCCTTTTGAAAATAGAAGAACCGAAAGTGTGTGTTTGTTAAACAATGATTTCTATGGACTAAACATCACTGTTTGTCGTTCGGTGCGCATCATTATATAATCACTCGGGCTAACGCCCTCGGTGATATAATTCCTCGCAATCCGAACTCAAACAGTGGATGTTATTGCTGAACGATAAAAATCACAGTTTGGGATATATTATTTGTTAAACAATGCACTCGCCGTTTCTTAATTATCTCCCTGTGTATTTTCACATTGAGGGCGCCAATTTTGTTTGAAAAATCTGATAAATAAAAACATTTGTTGTCGAATTTTGTTGTGAAAACTATCTAGAATGAAAGAAAATGGTCTAACTAAGAAAATGAATCAGAACACCAATATCTTTTTATTCAGTCGTAAACGCTGTACTGACGTTTAAAGTGTTGTTTACGTGACGTCACAATGTAGCGCCAAACAGCACGTGCAAAACAATCAAATATAGTACGCTATTTTAATGTCGCAAACGAGTTAAGTTTTACATTTATTTCAGTTTTTAATAATTTGTATTTCGCTTGAAAAAAATAGAGTGAAATAAAATAAACAAACAAAGATTTATCAACGTTTTCAAAATTCGTTATATTCTCAAAATGTTTCTACACACGGTAGATTTAACGACAGTTTTTTTTCAACCCACTGGAAAAGGGAACGTTTCTATTGGAAACTCTGAGGCGAAAACAAATTTAACCACCAAACATAAAGTCCAACTTTATAATTAAATGATATTAATTCTTCGTGCATTATAATATTGTATATTAATGCACGTTTTCCGTTCAAATGCTTTGTTGTTTGATGTATTTCTTTCAAAGTTGTACACAATAATCCTTTTCACAAGACGTTCAATTCTTCCGACCTATGTGTGAACTTCACCTCTTGCTGGCCTGGAATCTTGAAGATATGAAAACTTTTAAGTATGTCATATTATTATCCTCCACCGATTAAACTGGGAGGGGATATTGTCGGACCTTTGAACATAGAGTTTTGGCCCCTGAATAATTATGGTTCTGTATACAGAGCATTGTAACACCGCACTTTGGGGTCCAACGCACTTTGGGTCTAACCCCAAAGTGCGTTAAACTTCGCATCGCACTTTGGGGTCCAACGCACTTTGGGGTCAAAATCGAGAAATTGACCGCAAAGTGCGTTAATATGCTACATATTAACGCACTTTAGGTTCCAGAGGTCTGAAGGTGTCAACTGAGTTCTGCTTAAAAACTGTATACTGACTTATTTTTGATCTTGACATTGAAATGTTTGAGGTGAAGTTCAAGATGGCGGTCGATACTTTATTTGATGCTTAAGGTGACAACGGAGTCAATTATCACTAAAATACCTAAAATGAGATTTTTTGCTAAGTAGATTTATTAACCTTTTCTAAAATTTTATACATTCATGATTTAACTTTGGAAGCAGTTAGTCCAGAAACTATGTTTTTAAACTTTTTAAAACGATACCTTTACAATTCTTATCTGCTATGCGAGTAACCTGTCAATTATCGATAACGCGCCGCCCCCTATTGAGGCATCAATGAGGGAAATCGGAAGTTCCATAATTATATCCATGAATCACCGGTTTATTTGTTATTAGTCGATACTACACGTAATACATGTATCATAAAAATACTGTGCATCTATTATGAATATGTCAACATTATATCGTCTACCATTTAAGTAGCCATTTTATAAATTAAGAAATTGTCGACCGAGATGTAACAAATAATTAAGCATAGCGGTAAATCGCACGACCATGAGGGGGTTAAAACAATGTAGCTGCCTTTATCCATAATGTGTAAAATAGTTATTTATTTATCCCGTAATCGGATAGACATTATATTGAGTTTATGAACTTAAGTACGGAAGCTTGCTTTACATTCAACCTCGTTTTCTAACAATGTTAAAAGAAACAGACAACATATCTAAAATATTTTTACGATAGTCTTCGGAAAAGATTAATTCTTTATAAATCAATGAAAATGATATGAAAAATATGTTTTCAGTGAACGTTTTTGCATATGTTGTTCACTGTAAATCGAACACAATTTATTGTATGTCCCCAGAAGAAAATTGAATCTATGTATGCCGTGCCATAGATAAAATACGGGATAATAAAAGTCATGAAAACGTCAGATCATATTGATCGGGAAATACCTATTATTTCTATTAAATTATGTCAAGCATTTATATGAACTGACCGGACAAAAAATATATAATATCCCGTTCTTATTTGTACAGCGTACCATGCACGGACTTAAAAAAGTCTGTCAGGAGCACAGTTTTTTTCGTTTTATTTTAATATATATATTAACGGAATTTCATATATACTAATGGCACTGTTATCCTAATAATATTATAATAATAATGATAATGTTGTGCCCCTTTTAATAAAAGGGAAAAATTAACTTTAAAAATTTTTAAACCAAAAAGTACAAACCGTTAAATTTTCTTTTTTATTTTTCCCCCCTGAGTGCCTCAAATTTTACCGATAGCCACGTGACATCTGCGACAGATACCAGACGGACAGTAGATCACATTAAGATTTGAAGAAATTCTGCTATAAAATGATATTTATCAGCAGCATTTTAATTGGTCAGATGTCACTGGGTCATTTAAAGTTGTTAGAGTTTGTAACCGCATCATGTCACCCCCTTTGGTGTGATACAATAATTTAACGGACAACGTAGGGGTCTGGGAGAGAACAGCCGATTTATGACACTTCGTTTGATGTGCGTCGGACTAACTTTGAATCGGCATAACTTTTTTAATAAACAAGCAATTTACATGCGGTTTAAAGCACTTTAAAGGGAATTTAATTACGGAGGGAACCGTGTCAGGGATTTTTGTTTGCTCAATCAGCGACTTAATTATCTTTAATTACGTAATATGTATGGTGAAAAAAAGTCACATAAATTGTTTGACGTTACGTAATATTTTTTTGAGAAGAGAGAGAAAAAATCTGAGGCACGGTTCCCCAGATATTATAATTATTTTTATATTCCAAAATATTGATGACAAAAATATAAAAAATGACTTTGATATGACGATTTAAAATTAGAAAAATAGATTTTTTTTATCAAAATCAATAATTTACAAAGGCATTTTTTTCAAATATGTTATTTTTTATGAAGATTAAAGACATTTAATGCACAAAATTTAAATAAATAACAATTTTTACTAAAATAAGTTGGTTTAAATGACATTTATGGTAGTACCACGGAAAGTGTCTGTTGTCACCTTAAGTGATAAAAGTTTCATTTACTTTACCACTTGAAATATCTTAAATTTGTGTCCATAAAACAAAGTACTCTAGTACATAAATTGTGAATGTATTCCTTAAAATTAAAGGCCCATTATGCCATCATGTTTTCATCATCGTGCCTTCGTTGATTCACTATCGTACCATTGTTGTTTCATCATCGTACAATCGTTGTTTCACGTTCGTACCATCGTGTTTTCACCATCGTTCCATCGCGTTTTTATCATCGTACCATTGGGTCACCGCGCTTCATCGTGAACGGAATTCCGAATGTTTCAGTGTATGCCTTCAGGTTCAGTCAATCAAATTTCTTGATTTAGAGATATAAGAATTAATAGTTCCAGTGTAGTTTTTTAGGTTTAAGATTTCATAAAAAGCATTAGCAAACCTATTGATGATTACACTTGACATGAGGTAAAACGGCGAACCTCGAAAAAAAACTGCATTTGGAAAATTTGTGACAAATAATTCATAAAAAATGACACGAGACAAATGTGCTTTCTTGTCCCTTAAAACATGAGATAAATGTGCTTTCTTGTCCCTTAAAAACTTGTTCGGAGCACATTTGTCGCATGTGGGACAAATGCGACCGCATCGGTCTGACATAAGACAAATGTGCTCCGAGACAAATGTGCTCCGAGACAAATGTGCTACTACAATGATAACTTTCCAATTTATCCATTTTGAGATGTTGCAACCAAAATTATAAAATCATTTTTTCATTTTTTTTTAAATTTATACAAAAAATTTATTAACTTATAAATAATAATATAACGTTAATTTTCAGTATCAAAGAAATTATCTATAAGTATATTTTACATTTGTAATGGACATAAATGACATCAGATGGTGTTTCATGAACAGTTTTGTAATGTAAGTTTTGATGTATGAGTTTGATTAATAAAATGATATAAACGTATTTGTATCATTGAAACAATAATTTATCATTGTTCCTAAACTTTGATATTTTTATCAAAAACAAAAGAAGAATCTATTATGAAATTTTGGTATATTATTAAACATTAGATATTTCGTTTGATTTAACTACTTTAATTGTATACTTTAATGTTATCAGTTGGTCCGCCGTTCGGTGGAGTGATGTACCAGTTTGCCGGCAAAGAGGCGCCGTTTCTTATCCTTGCTGCTTTGGCCCTCTTTGACGGAGGTAAGCTTTTTTTTGTTTAACCGTGGTTCAATGTAGAAAACAAGTTTATTTTTTATAACAAAATAGTCAATACCGTGACAAACCTATTTAGAGAAGTGTGCATAGACATTTCAATGTTGGTGTTTTAAGCCTCTCTTGATTCTCAACATGTCAGAACACCAGTACTATTATCAGCAGAGGAAGCGCATACAGCTTTCGTTTTTATTGTCAAACAAGCGAATTTTTTATCGAAATCAATTCGCGTTATTATCTTTGGCACACTGTTTTATTATTTGATGGAGGAATCGAAGAATGTTCCGCACGATTTGGTCACACAAACATGGTCATCCAGTTTACTTGAGACCACGTTATTATCGAGGGACAGAAACAACTGTGACACCAGGAAAGAAATAAAGGTGAGATCGTGCTTATATTTGCTTACTTGTTAATCACATGGAACAATTTGATATTTTAAGTTTTAAAATGGAACTCAAATGTATATTGATTTGATATGTTGAAGTATAATAGTGATTTGATATATTATGTTGAAGTATAATTATAGTGATTTGATATGTTGAAGTATGATAGTGATTTGATATGGATATTTTGAAGTCTGAAATTTCTTCTTTCTAGGAATGCAATGAAGAGATTGTAAACAAAAACATCCATATTCTTGTTACTTTTGAGTTAAATTAAGGTTCTCATAAAAATTCTAAATCAAAAACCATTTTGTTTGCTTCTGTTTTTTTCCTGATGACTCTATAGCAAGCCCGTAATGCTCGCTTCGTATATGTGAGGTGTTAGGTTCGAATCACGATATTGTGTTGTTCTTTAAGTGATAAGAACATTTTTTCTTAAGAAATAAGACGGTATACGCAGAAAACGTGTGCATAAATGAACTTAAATGCAAGTTACAAACTCTGGCTAAACAAAATTGCATATGAATTAGATTCAAACTGTTTAAACCAAACGTCTAGATGGTTAATGAAATGTAATTATACAACACGTTTATACTCGTATATCTTTGAAGATGATTTTGATGTAAGACTTTACAGACTCCCTCATATGATGGACACAAGTTTTAGATGTTAGAACAGATATACCATTCTGTTGCAAACACCGATAGTATTTTCATGATTTGTATTTTAGATTGTAAAACCAATATTTGACGGCTTCCGATTGAAAATTTGCATCATATAAAATTGTCGTGCTTGAAATTCATTGCTAACATTGACTAGTACATTGTATATGCTGTAAAATAATTACGTTTATTGTTTAACATCGATACAATTTTGATTAAATGTTGTTAATATTCTTTTTCTCTTTCAGTTTCATGTTTTAAATATTCTATGAAAAATACACAGACGTGTCAAAAAATAATGCATCAAGGCTAGGAATTCAGATTGTTCGGCTTTTGTGTGGCATGGCGAGCGTTTCTATGAACTTATTTCCAAGTATATTTGCTGGATTGAAATACTGTAATGCCATGGTTTTGCCTGCCGCCAAGTGCTCAACTCAAAGATAAACCTAAGATAATTCATCATTCAACTAGAATAATTCATCATTCAACTCAAAGATAAACTTAGGAAATTCATCATTCAACAGACGATAAACCTTGCATAATTCATCATTCATCACGAAGATAAACCTTGCATAATGCATCATTCAACTAGAAGGTAAACCTTGGATAATTCATCATTCAGCAGACGATAGACCTTGCATAATTCATCATTCAACTAGAAGATAAACCTTGCATAATTCATCATTCAACAGAAGTTAAACGTAGGATAATTCATCATTCAACTAGATGATAAACCTTGGATAATTCATCATTCAACTAGAAGATAAACCTTGCATAATTCATAATTCAACTAGAAGATAAACCTTGCATAATTCATCATTCAACTAGAAGACAAACCTTGCATAATTCATCATTCAACAGAAGTTAAACCTAGGATAATTCATCATTCAACAGAAGTTAAACCTAGGATAATGCATCATTCAACTAGAAGATAAACCTTGCATAATTCATCATTCAACTAGAAGATAAACCTTGCATAATTCATCATTCAACTAGAAGATAAACCTTGCATAATTCATCATTCAACAGAAGTTAAACGTAGGATAATTCATCATTCAACTAGATGATAAACCTTGGATAATTCATCATTCAACTAGAAGATAAACCTTGCATAATTCATTATTCAACTAGAAGATAAACCTGGCATAATTCATCATTCAACTAGAAGATAAACCTTGCATAATTCATCATTCAACAGAAGTTAAACCTAGGATAATTCATCATTCAACAGAAGTTAAACCTATGATAATGCATCATTCAACTAGAAGATAAACCTTGCATAATTCATCATTCAACTAGAAGATAAACCTTGCATAATTCATCATTCAACTAGAAGATAAACCTTGCATAATTCATCATTCAACAGAAGTTAAACCTAGGATAATTCATCATTCAACTAGATGATAAACCTTGGATAATTCATCATTCAACTAGAAGATAAACCTTGCATAATTCATCATTCAACTAGAAGATAAACCTTGCATAATTCATCATTCAACAGAAGATAACCCTAGGATAATTCATCATTCAATTAGAAGATAAACCTTGGATAATTCATCATTCAACAGAAGATAACCCTAGGATAATTCATCATTCAATTAGAAGATAAACCTTGGATAATTCACCATTCAACAGAAGATAAACCTTGGATAATTCATCATTAAACTAGAAGATAAACCTTGGATAATTCATCATTTAACTTAAAGATAAACCTTGGTTAATTCATCATTCTACTCGAAGATAAATCTTGGATAATTCATCATTTAACATGAAAATAATTCTTGGATAATTTATCATTCAGCTCCAAGATAAACCTTGCATAATTCATCATTTAACGTGACGATAAACCTTGGATTTTTCATCATTCAACACTGAGATAAACTAAGAATAATTCATCATTCAACCAGAAGATAAACTAAGGATAATAAATCATTCAACTCAAAGATAAACCTTGGATAATTCATTATTTAACTCGAAGATAACCCCTCGGATAATTCATCGTTCAACTCGAAGATAAATCTTGGATAATTCATCATTCAACTCGAAGATAAACTTAGGATAATTAATTATTCTACTCGAAGATAAACCTTGGTTAATTCATCATTCAACCCGACGATAAACCTAGGATAATTAATCATTAAACTCGAAGATAAAACTTTGATAATTCATCATTTAACTCTAAGATAAACCTTGGTTATTCATCATTTAACTCGAAGATAAACCTTGGATGATTCATCATTCAACTCAAAGATAAATCTTGTATAATTCATCGTATAACTCGAAGATTAACTTTTGATAATTCAACTCGAAGATAAACCTTTGATAATAACTATTCATCATTCAGCTCGAAGATAACCCTTGGATAATTCATCATTCAACTAGAAGATAAACCTTGCATAATTCATCATTCAACTAGAAGATAAACCTTGCATATAATTCATCATTCAGCTTGAAGATAAACCTTGTATAATTCATGATTTAACTAGAAGATAAACCTTATAGACTCGAAAATAACCTAAGTTAATTCATCATTCAACTTAAAGTTAATTCTTGGTTAATTCATCATTCAACTCGAAGATACACCTAGGGTAAGTCATCATTCAACAGAAGATAAACATTAGATTATTCATCAAAATTACCTCGAAGGTAAACCTAGGATAATTCATCATTCAACTAGAAGATAAACATTGGATAATTCATTTTTCAGCTAGAAGATAATTCTAAGAATAACATCAGCAGTCATCTAAATTTCACGAACAACTCTTTTAAATTGATCTTTGTTTCGGACACGTTTAAAATTTGTTGTAGGAGGCAATAAAACGTAATTGCACATAGAATATTGAAGGTATACTATGCTCAAATTTTATATTAGAAAATATCGAAATGGCTACACAGTCTCTTTTGTAAATATAAACCCAACATATTTTGACTTCACACAAATAGATATGTTATGTTTAAAATTCTAAACACTATAGGTTGTCACAATATGAATATATAGTGTCATTAAAAATCTGCACATCGCAATAAAATGTGTATGATTTTCTCCCAAACGTTAAACAGTTTTGTCGTTTATTTGTTCAGCAGAAAGATAGAAAAATCGTACATGTTCATAGAAGCATATTGAAAACCCGTAAATGTTCATACTAGTATATCGAGAACCCGTACATGTTCATAATAGTATACCGAGAACCCGTACATGTTAAAACTAGCATATTGAGAACTTGTACATATTCATACTAGCATATTGAGAACCAGTACATGTTCATACTAGCATAATGATAACCCGTACATGTTCATACTAGTATATTGAGAAACCGTACATGTTTATACTAGTATATCGAGAACCCGTACATGTTCATACTAGCATATTGAGAACCCGTACATGTTCATACTAGCATATTGAGAACCCGTACATGTTCATAGTAGCATATCGAGAACCCGTACATGTTCATACAAGCATATTGAGTACCCGTACATGTTCATACTAGTATATCGAGAACCCGTACATGTTCATACTAGCATATTGAGAATACATGTTCATAATAGTATATCGAGAACCCTTACATGTTCATACTAGCATGTTGAGAACTTATACATGTTCATACTAGCATGTTGAGAACCCGTACATGTTCAAATTAGCATATTGGTTTCATTGGTACATGTTCATAGTAGCATATTATTTTATTTACTTGGTTATATTGTTTGACGTGATTAATGGTCATGAGTATTTGTTTGTCAACACTTATCTGTCACTGATGGTTTTAGATGTTTTCGATAATTTCTGTAAGTTACAACAATGAAGGCATTGTATAGATCTCTCGATACTTTAATCAATAATTACGACGAAAGACCAAAGACGGAATTGTAAATGGTTGGTTAAGAAGTTCGAGTCTTCAACAAACCATTTAGATATTTTAGCTTATTATTTCGTTTTTCTTTAATCATTTGCAGCTTAAATAAATAAGCTATTGTTAAATTGCCAATGTCCATTTTTGTCATTTCATTACCTTCACAAAAACGTATGTCATTTTTCATTTATAATATGTCAAGTCGAACAATATATGATTCGCATGCACACAAACAGAATGATCAAGTTTAGCTCGATATAGCAAAGGAAATAGTAAAGAAAATAAATGTATATAAAAAATAATGTTATAAAATTTATCAAGATTCGAACTAAAAACCTTGAATAAGAAAGTTAAAAAAAATCTTTGAGGCAAGTAACAGGTTCATAGTAACATTTATTGAATATGAGTTTGTAATACACAGAAAAACTGAAATAATAATAATAATATGGAGGTTTAATTACTAGAAGAGCCTTGGCAGATATAGACAGCCCAATATAAACTAAATGTGAAAAGCGTGATATTTATATTTCAGCATTACAAATGTTTGTACTACAGCCGACCGTCCAGCCGGAATCCCAGGAGGGAACATCCTACATTACTCTACTTAAAGATCCATATATACTGATAGCAGCAGGTTTGTTCGTCGCAAATTTCTTTCCACCATACGGAAGAAATGCTCTAAAGAGCTTTCATTAAGACTAACATTATTCATTTAGTAGTGCTTACTTTTAAGTATATATTGTTAAAAAAACTTACTTTGAGGAAATTATTACTATCAGTTATGTAATATTCACTAACAACATAGAAAGGTGTTCAAAGAAATTACGATCATGTTTACATGCATTACAAACAACGAATAAGAGGCGTTGCATTGATATAAATGAGCATTTTACCAATCTGATTTTTATCTATTTACATTTAAATTTTAAGCTATATCCTCGGGCGAGGTGAAATACTCCGAGACGTTTGATCTCGGACATTAACTCAAATGGTCATTTGTCTCTAACTGCTGATTCAGAAATTATATGAGATTTGTAGTCGGTTACTTCTGGAGGAATTGGTAACTTATTCGGGAAAGCCGGTTAAGTGGGTCTATTGCCGAGATATGAGGAGTAATTGTGTTAATTAAAAACGGGTTAAAATCCAGAAAAAATTAACAAGATTTTAGGTGAGATACGGACACCGATATAAATATATAATTATAATCTTTGGTAAAGCAAATCATGAGATCATTACATTTCAATAGATTTTATTCTTTCAATTCAAATATCAGCACTTGTATTACATTCCCTATACATGGACACCAGTTTTAGTTGTTGGAAAAGATATACCATTCTTGATTAGGTAACAAACAGTCAAACACCACATGTCTTTAAGAATGTTATATGTCAAATTGTGAAACGAGACATAAAGGCTTCTATCTGATTCTTTACATCAAACATTTGTCTTGTGATAAGTCTATTTCCATATTTGGGATGACGTATTGTTTGCCAATGTAACCATAAAGTACTTTTGTGTGAATTATTTCTCTTTTTCTTTTTTTATGAACAGGTTCTATAACTTTTGCGAACATGGGAATTGCCATGATGGAACCATCTTTACCCATATGGATGAATAAAGTGATGGGCGCCGAAGAATGGGAGCAAGGTAATTATGACCGTTTGACTCCTGTTGGACCGAAAATGATTATCGCTTGCCAACAGCATATTATTATGAGATCCTGCACATCCAATGCAGTCTAACCAGGATTTTTACTGTTGGTTATTTTGATATTCGAATCCCTTTAACAATACATTAAGCCCTAAAATGAATACAATTTGCTATCTGTGGAAAACATACATGTGTTTGAAACGTTTTATTAACATCTTTAGTTGATATTAGATGGTTATCAGAGGTAAAATGCAGCAATGAGTATGAATTTATTTTTCATAAAGTAGCAAAACATAAACAAAGCCGTTGTTTGTCTTCAAATCAAATTGCTTAGTAAAAACAAAAAAGGTTCAGATAAATTAGCTTTTTTGGTTGGGAGGGGGAAGGGGTTTCTTTAAACTTTTTGATTTTTTCTCAGTTCAAAACAGAACAAACAGGTGACACAAATGGATTTGGTAAAATATTAAAACGAGGAAATAATTCATTTTATTCCATCTTTAGGTCTTTTTGCATTCGTTAAAGTTCAATATATATAAATATATATTTCTTAAGTCTTAGATCTGTAGAACTGTTAAGAATACACAATGCAAAGTTCTCTAGTTGTGACGTTTTGCCAAGTGTAAACAAAAGAGTATCATATAATATTTATATGATTTGAGCTGAAATATAAGAAAATAAAGAATGTCTAAATGAGATTAAAATAAATGTTGAGGTCCATTTAGCCAGCCATCAAAATAATTTGCCATTTAGCATTTTGGTCCAGTTGATGGCACATACATGATATACATATCCACTGTAGTAACAGCCGAAATGCCATGCAAACTAAAGAACCAAAACAACAAAAGAAATATTTCTTTGATGTTTTTTGCAAAAATAAAAGTTGCTTTAACCATTTAAACAATTCGTTATTCATACTTTTCTATAACGTTTTCATTTTTTGACAACTGTACCTTTTTTATTCTTACAGGTTTAGCTTTCCTTCCAGCCAGCATATCGTACTTGTTGGGTACTAATATATTTGGGCCTGTAGCTTCCAAAATAGGACGCTGGTTATCAACTATGCTTGGAATGATAGTTATATCAATATGTCTATTTGCGGTTAGTATAGAAATACAATTACTTCATAAAATTACTATTACTACAAATAATAACAATTGCGTCAAATGGTTAAATTTATAGGTCAGTAATAATTAGAATTGCACGTTCTTAGTAGAAAAAAACTTTTTTACAAAAACAAAAATGATATACAATTACAATGTACCGTATATAATAAAGGTAATATAAATATGAATATTCGTATCAAGCGTTTAATTTGCCTTTACCTAATTTGAATGAAACATTTCAGAAACATATCTATAGATTTTGCTACCTTTTTTATATTGAAATACAGTGCGGTAAATGGACATAAAGGTCTCTCAGCTAAGATACAACAAATAATAACCCGTCAAGAGAACTAACTAACTGTCTGACTGACTGACTGACTGACTGACTGACTGACTAACTAACTAACTAACTAACTAACTAACTAACTAACTAACTAATAATCATACTTTAAATTAATTTACATGCTGTAAAATAAATCGTTTATTATGGTGGAAAATCTAAAAATTATTGAAAAGTAGATTGATTTCGTAAGCATGAGGTCTATTAGAAAGTATCATGAATAAATTAATATTTTAAATGAACAAAAACGTTTTACTCTTTCCTAGTTACTGTAGCAAAAAAGCGCTGAAAATTGTTTCCTTGAACGGCTTTCAGCGTTATTCATTGTCGATGTTATCATTAAAAAGAGGCGAACGGCTGATGACGTTACTAAAATTTTGATGACACTCGAACTTAAATACCTTATAACTTTAACAGAAAAGCATTTTCGAAGGTTTGTTTGGAATATTTAATGACGGAATGTTGACGTTTACGAATCGTACATGTATGATAAAAGGATTTATAATCATGAGAAAATATAGGGTTTTATGACTTAAAAATAAAAATGCCGCATCTCATCGGATAGTGTGGTTATTTTCAGTCAAAATTCATGTGAAGTAAAGCTTGCACATGACCAGAATTTTGTTAGCATGCTCCTTTGGATGTTGACTATGAATCCATAACATTGATTTATTCGAACATAGTTGGGATATGTTAAAATAGATGAATACTTACCGTCCGTCAATTGTGTTTCCTGCGCCGACATGTATATACTGGTACAGCTGTCGACGCTTGAACTGCTGTCTGTCCATTTGATTGTACGATGTGCTCTATCTTCATAGCTTTCTCTCTCTATTTGGAGTAGTGAAGTAGTGAAGAGAAATCTGAAATATCATATGAAAACTGATCTCAAATATACCATTTTTATATCAGTGTGATTGGGATTCATCATAAAATATTATAATATATGTATTTTTAGAAACAATATTTGGAATAAAAGATTTTAAGACAAGCGAGTCGATTATAAATATAGGAAAAGCCACCACAGTGATTACTGTGATTGAATACCAAAACATCTCACTGTATTTAATGACCACTGGCTATTGTACACGTTGCTGAACAAATTTACTAATAGTTATTAAATGGCAATATTGACCCGAGACTCATTAATTTTCTGGCCGTTTTTCGTTGGTTTCCGTAATTTGTATGATTTACGCTTAAGATTTTAATGATAATATAGAATAACAAGAGCCACCGCCGGGCGGGGGCAACGCTCGACTTTTTACTTTTTCTAAATGCAAACATAGAAAGGTTTGAACATATCTTAATGTTTCCTTTTTATAAATTAATTGGTCTGTCTTGTTTATATATTTTGTATATATATATGAATAGAAACATTAAGCAAATTTCTAAAAATAGCATCATTACGCAATTTCTTAAAATAGCAACATGACGCAATTTCTTAAAATAGCAACAATGACGCAATTTCTAAAAATAGAAAAAATGACGCAATTTCTAAAAATAGCAACAATGATGCAATTTCTAAAAATAGCAACAATGACGCAATTTCTAAAAATAGAAAAAATGACACAATTTCTAAAAATAGCTACAATGATGCAATTTCTAAAAATAGCAACAATGACGCAATTTCTATAAATAGAAACTAATGACGCAATTTCTAAAATAGCAACAATGACGCAATTTCTAAAAATAGAAAAAATGATGCAATTTCTAAAAATGAGCAAACAATGATGCTCAATTTCTAAAATAGAAAAAATGATGCAATTTCTAAAAATAGAAAAAAATGACAAGCAATTTCTAAAAATAGAAAAAATGACACGCAATTTCTAAGAAATAAAAATCTTGATACGCAATTTCTAAAAATATGAAAAAAGCAAAACAATGAGGAAAACCAATGACGCAATTTCTAAAAATTTTGCAACAATACGCAATTTCTAATTTAAATTGAATTAATTTTTTTCAATTCCAAAAAACAAGAATGGGGGGGGCAATTTTATTAGAAAAATTGCCCCCCCCCGCAATTCTTTTTGCCCGGGGCCAAATTTTAAATTCCAGAAAACAAATTTCGCAATTTATAAATTAAAAACAAAAAACGAAAATTTTTAGGGGAATATATATAAAAAATAAATAAAAACAACAAAAACAAACTTAATTTAAAGTTAAGATAAAGGCAAAATCTAGAAAATTCGGGAAAATTCTGAAAGGCAAAAAGGAAAATAAAACTGAAGCAAATATAACAGATTTATTCAATTATTTCAAAGGAGTAAACTATAGTTAAGGTGAAAGCAATGGTGGTGCCAATAATAATAATATTAATAATAATAATAATAATAAGAAGAGTAATAGCAATAACAAATAATAATAATAATAACAGTAATAGCAATAACAACAACAACAACAATAACAACAATAATAATAGCAATAATAATAATAACTTACTTAATATGCCTCTTGATATCAATGAAGTCGTTAAAGCAGTTAAAAATCTTAAAAATAACAAAGCGAGTGGTTATGATAACATAGTAAATGAACAGATTAAGGCCTCTCTCTCTTTGATGAAACATGTTTATGTCAAATTATTCAACGTAGTGCTTGATACGGGTCTAATCCCAGAACACTGGACAGTTGGAATCATTAAAAACAAGGGTGATCCTGCAAAACCAGAAAATTATAGACCAATTACATTATTAAGTTGCCTAGGCAAAGTTTTCACAAGCATATTAAATAAAAGAATCACTGATTATGTAGAGTCAAATGATATTGTTAATAACACACAAGCAGGATTTAGAAAAGGTTTTTCAACCTCAGCTTTACAATTTTTTACAAATCTTTATTCTGTTATATGCAGATGTAACTGTTATTGTGGCTGAGACAGCAAATGACTTAAAAGAAGCACTATATACATATGAAAGATATTGCGATATTTGGAAACTTACAGTCAATATTTCTAAAACAAAGATAGTTGTGTTTTCAAAAGGGAGACAAAGAAATTATCATTTCACTTATAAAAATGAACCAATCGAAATAGTAAATAAATATAAATACCTCGGCATATTTTTAATAGAAGTGGTTCTTTCGCTAAAACGAAGACACATATTGCAGAACAAGCTACAAGATCGATGTACAGCCTGATAGGAAATTTAAATAGATTAAATTTACCAATTGACTTACAAATTGAACGTTTTAATAAAACTGTTAAACCAATATTATGGTTCTGAAATCTGCGGATACGGTAATATTGACGTTATTGAACGCGTACAACTCAAATTTTTAAAACACATCCTTAAACTTAAACGTTCGACGGCCAGTTATTTCATATACGGTGAAACGGGATGCATGCCATTGTCTGTAGATATCGGGGAAAGAATAGTCTCATTTTGGGCGCGTCTCCTTCAGAACGAAAATGGTTTAATACCAAATAAATTATCATACTTTGTATATCATCATATGCTTAGAAATACAATAGATAGTTATGATAATGATTTTGAACGTTATTATCCGTGGATTTATAATTTAAAATCAATACTAATAAAATGCGGTATCAACAATGTTGGATTGATCATAATTTTCCCGGTACCAAATGGTTAAAATTAACAGTAAAACAAAAGCTAAAAGATCTTTTCTTAAATGAATGGTATTCAAAAATAAATGAATCGAGCAATAGTTCTTTTTACAAAAATTTTAAAAAGTCTTTTGGAATTGAACCTTATCTTCGTACTCCCAAAATGCAATGATTTTTAATTATGTCAAATTCAGAACAAGAAACCATAGATTACCAGTTGAAACTGGAAATTGGTCAAATATACCTGTTAATGAAAGAATGTGTATTTTTTGTAGAAATATAATCGGTGATGAGTTTCATTATCTTTTTGAATGTAATAGATTTTCTAATGAAAGAAGACAATTTATAAAACCTTATTTTTATAGACGTCCTAATATGTATAAATTAGAACAACTTTTTACAATGAAAGATTCACCTGCATTTTATAAACTATGCAAATTCTTAATGATAATTATAAGAAATGTAAGAATGTAATCAAATATTTATGTTTTCATTTTAAAGTCAGTTATGATTTTGTAATGTTCTGAGATATATTTTTTGTTTTACTGATATTCACTTACCACTTTCTTACTATACAGCAAAGGTCCTTTATGCCTCACATATACTTTTATTTTCATTTCTCATAAGACTAAGTTTTTGCTGTACTTTTATAGTATTAAAAGATTAATCACAGGCTTATGACATGAATCATCTTTCATTTCAACTGTTGCTTTTTAGAAATAAATACAAGTATAGTGAATATGTATTTTGTATGGAAGTTAAACTACTACTTTATTTACATTTTATAACTTTTATGACAAATTATATCACATTTATAGCTACTTTCTCCTAGTAACAAATATCTTACATTCTGTTTAAGCAATACTAGTATTTAAATGTTGTATAATTCAGGTTTGCACTTTCTAAAGAAGTTTAAAAAATATGCATGTAATTAAATAATATGTAATAGATATGTTGATATTGTTTAGTAATTATAGTCTGAGCTCAATTTGTATAAATGCCTCGTTAAACATTTTGACATTATCCTCATATTACATGTTGTATGCATGTTTGAGTGAATAAAAGATGTGTTGTTGTTGTCGCTCCGCGCCCCTGCGGGGCGAAGTTTTATTATTTTTTAACTTTTCCCGCGCCCTCGCTAATTAGCGTGTTATCGCTCCGCCCCCACCCCGCCATTTTAACTTGTTAATTATCGACTTTTCGCAGGACGAAAACACGCTAATTAGCAGGGTCGCGCGACGAAGTTTTATTTGTTAAACTTCGCCCCGCGCCCCCGCTAATAAGCGTGTTTTCGTCCCGCGATCCCGTCGTTTTATTTCGTAAATCCCGCTCCGCGCCCCCGCGGGGCAAAGTTTTATTTTTTAAATTTCGCTCGCGCCCTCGCTAATTAGCGTGTTATCGCCCCGCCCCCGCCATTTTAACTTGTTAATTTTCGACTTTTCGCATGGCGGGTCGCGGGGCGAAAACACGAATGGCACAAATCAGCCACCATAAAGCATACCTTATGTTTTGTGATATGTTAATATGTTTCACCGACTATAAATAAATTTTGATTTGATTTGATTTGTGATCCAAGAGCAAGATTTGAAATTATTTACGTTATATTCAAGACATCTATTCTTTATAAGTTCGAAGAGATGTATACTTAAAATAAGAATAAAACGGGATTATTAAGTATAAATTTACCTTTATATGTTTATATGTTTTTATGTGTCCTATATAATTTGTTAACTTGTTGTTTATTGAGTAACATGTGTGAATGCTAAAATTTAAACTAACTGTTTAATTTTGGGCCATGGGCCTTATACATTGCAAATAAAGATGTATTTATAGCTTATATAACATTGAACAATGGGGGAATATGTATTGATCTTTTATTTATTTCAGACACCATTCTGCAGAACTACTGCACTTTTAATTGCTCCCATGTTTGGACTGGGGTTTTCAATAGGTGAGTAGAGATTTAAGTGAATATTTCTTGAGGGAGGGTTTGGTATGCCCCTACCTACCCCCAGCCCCACCCATAACCTTGTTACCGGGTTGTCGGATGTTTATTTTGACTATATTTAGTACAAAATGTATTATAAGGGATTGGAAGAAATTGCAGGCAGATAAGTAAATGAGTTTTACTTTTTTACATTGATGAATTCTATCTACCAAAGGTCAAGGTAACAGGGATCTTTAATAAAAAATAAAATTGGCCGTGCAAACAAAGTGCATTGGCCTAGTAACTTCAAACTTTGTATGTAGATACAAGCCACATACATTTACAGGTCAAAGGTTCAAGGTAACTGATTGAAGGATCTGTTATAATAAAACATTAATCCCAGCATTAAATACAAGTGCATTGACTTAGGAACTTGAAATTTCCAGACCAACTTTACGGTCAAAGTGCAAGGTCTCTGGGGCTTAAAATGAGAAAAATACACCTGGGATCTAGAATCTTATTTAGAAAATATAGTATTTACTATCCTATTCTGAGAAAAGAGGACAGCGCTGCTCTTGCTATTTAGTTCCTTTTTAGATTTCATGACTATGAACTATATACACCAACAACTTTATATTTTGATAATTATAACAATGGATATGACAAAATATTTGCATGAATCTTTGAACAAATGTGTCGTAGGAATGTCATTTCAATTAATATTACACTTTTGTATTTTATGACAATTATAAAGTCACAGGTTTAAGCTACAGTCTCACTGACATCCCGGCAGAGCCCCGGTAGACGTCCGGGGTGATCCGGGAACGACCGGGGTACGACCGGGAACAACCGGGGTACATCCGTAACTCTGCCGGCAACGTCCGGGATGATCCGGGAACATCCGGCATTCGACCCCGGATGGAATAAAATATTTAATATCACCGGGGTGGTCCGGGATGATCCGGGAAGTATAGCTTTGCCGGCTTCATCCTTAGCTCTGCCGGGAACGACCGGGGTTACACCGGGGAAGCACCGTAGCTCTGCCGGCACAAACCGGGGATGATCCGGGGTATGATATAGCCGGTAGAGCTACGGTAGAGCCCCGGTGAATGCTGGCAGAGCCCCGGTGAATGCCGGCAGAGCCCCGGAGGATGCCGGCAGAGCCCCGGAGGATGACGATGGAGCTACGGTTGATCCCGGTAGAGCCCCGGCAAAGCCCGGTTCATTTCAAAAGAATCACGACAATTTGCGATGATTGCACTTGTTTGTATTAAAACCCTTCCCATTTCCCTTCTATCCAGTTTTGCATAAGGATTTTTCAGAAAATCATCATGAATTACTTTTCTTGAACGATAGATATTAAATTAAATAAAAATTAAGTATCAATGTAATCATTTTCGCGCGCTTTTAATCCACCGGGGTTCTACCGGGGCTCTGCCTGGATCGTCCTGGGCTCTGCCTGGATCGACCGGGGCTCTGCCTGGATCAACCGGGGCTCTTCCGGTGTCATCCGGGAACGACCGGGGAAGCACCGGAATGAACCGTAGCTTCACCTGGGCTCTGCCTTGATGATCCGGAGCGCATCCTGGGTGGTTAGATGGGAATTTCCGTAGTGCTGCCGGGGTAAGTGTGACCGCAACAATAATTTTACCCTGGATCGTCCCGGATCATCCCGGTAACTTACCTGGATGGTCCTGTGCTCTGCCTGGAGTAAGTGAGATCACAGCTTTACAAAAGTCTATATTGTGTGTATGAACAATTAGCTGAAAGAATTCTGTGGAATTTTACTCTCATCCGACGATCAGGCTCGTTCTAGATAATTATGTTTATTTGTTCGTGGAAATGACTATAGTTCGTTTTGATTGGGCAGTATCTTGGCGAAGTAAACATCTGTCAGGAGTGTAGTAATGACATGAAAACAGAAGGTTAATATCATAAAGGTGTGAATTGGTATTTAAATTTCGTTGAAACACGATCCGCTAAATTTAAAACTTCAGTCGCCGCGTGAGAACTCATACTCCACCACACGCCGGAGTACCTCAACTTCACCGAGCATATTTAGAATATTCGCAAAAGTATCGCAACGCATCGTTTTGCGTAAATTCGGTGCACAGCTTTCCTTGTAATTTATATGCAGTATACATGAAGTGGCAGCAAGGCCGGTGGTTAACGGGTCGGGCAAATAATCTAAGGATCGTTAGTGGCGTGGGTTGAAATCCCGCTAGGGGCAAGCCGTTGTTTTCTTGATTACACACTTTGCTCAGTATTGTTTCGTCGAGCGTTTGTAATTATAGCTTCCTATTCAATCGAACCGAAATAAATTCTGTACAACTAAACATAAACTCACTGTATTCAACAACTTACTTTGAAGGTGTCGTACAATACGTTAATGTTTATCTACAAAATTTTAAAAAATGTAGACTTTTACATGTAAAATGTTATCAAATGAATATTTACATGTACAGACAAATATTTGCGTAAAAGATATCGGCAGACAATTATTTCGTAAAAGATATCGGCTATCTTCACCACTTTCCAGATAAAATCTTAATATAAGAAGCGAATCACAATTTTGTCGGCACTTAATAAAGTACCGTCATACTTTGGGTAAGCATTATTGATAATCGACACGGTGTTCCAAATGCGAGTACTTTTGATCTTATGTATGCCGACGATAGTGCCGAAAGTTGATGTTCTCGAATTTTAATTATATTTCTACAAAGCAGTTCTACGGAACAGTTATTTTTTGTATGTGAGAAGTTAGCAGTGAACAGTGAGCTAAGCAAAAAGGCATTTCAAATTATTTAGGGAAATCAATGATCTGCTGTAATACTCAGCTGTCTTGGGCATCTAGCAGGGTATTCCTAAAAAATTATTTTGGAATGCTCCGCTTAATTGCTTACCCAGCTGAACATAACAGCAGATCTTTGATTTCCCTATATAAATTGTAATGCCTTTTTGCTTAGCTAACTTCTCACATAGAATTCTTATGTATATGTTTTAGGTATGGTCGACGCATCAATGATGCCACATATGGGTTACCTTGTAGATTTACGTCACGTGTCCGTGTACGGGAATGTGTATGCTATAGCTGATATAGCTTTTGCCATGGGGTTTGCAGTAGGTATGTTCCAAATTTACCGCAAGATATGTCGCATAAAGTATAGTTTAAAATTAGAAATACACTTTGTTGCTAGAATATTATTTTCTGCATATTTATATGTAATGTTCACCATGGGATATTTCCATGCTTGAAAGAAGTCCATCTTGCTAATTAATACGTGATTTGTAATGCTGGCATCATGAGACATGCTTTAAACTTGGAAGTAGGTTGTGTGTTAATTCATACCGACGAACATTTTGGTTGCTTAATTTGCATGTTTAAAAGTTGAAATTCGTCATGTTATTCATGAGACTTTGTACAAAAGAAGGGACTGCCTGTAGGATCGTTAAATATTAAGTTATCTGTAAAATAACAAATAAGGAACATGCTCTTACAGTCTATCAACATGGCATTTTCTTTATGTTTTTAATATACAGCTTAATGAATAAGTTCTTCCAATTTAATGAAAACCAGAATAATTTAGAATTTAAAGAAAGAAAATAAAAAAGGTTAGAACAATTAGTTACCGATTGATTTTGCTGAAGTTACTATATTTCTTTCAACTCGCTACGAGTGTTGTCCAAAAAAATCGTCCACTGCAGTTATTGTCGTGAGAGTTATTGATAAAAAACCTGAATTATATATCATTTGAAGGGGAAATCTGTCTCAAATAAGAAAACAAAAAGCCATGTAACCGGCGTGTCGTGAAAACGAATCGTCATATAGTTTCCTAAGTAACGTTATACCGGCACACGACACAAAATTGGGTTAGTTCATTACTGTTACTGTAATAATTTTTTGTTGCTTGTAAAGTGGCATTTTCTTTTTATGTCATAATTTGTTTTACTGTCAATAGAGAAATGATTGATGCAAAGTATTTTGTAGTTTTTATGCAACGTACATGTAACATATTCCACCAGTGCACGAATATATTGGACAACCCTCGTCACATGCGCCGGCATTACGGACGGACGTCTGCCTGATTGGTTGTCATCGTCTACTGATTCGCCCCTCTTCAAAGCATTTGTGCCATTTAAAAATTCATATAGATACACGAATCATTTGAAAATTATGTTTGATAAGTCATGAGGCAAAGGAGCATAAGAAATTTGCATATATGCTTAAAATAGCCAAAGTTATTGCATCATATTGTGTATAGTAAGTTTTTAAAACGCTGCTTTAAAAAGAAGCTTACACATTTGACTACTTTTTTTAAACCTTTTTAAACCTTCAGAGTAGTGGCGACATAAAGGGATCACTTCTTTGTCGTCCGTCTGTCTGTCCGTCACAAAATTTGTCCGGACTACTCCTCAAAAAGTACTGGTGCAATTTCATCCAAACTTCACTGGAATGATCAGTACCATGTCTAGATGTGCATATCGGTTGCATTTTCCGGTTCAATCATTTTTGTGAGAGATACGGCCCTTTAAAAAAAATATTTTTAAAGTTTGTACGGACCACTCTTATACCACTGAGGCAATATCAATGAGACATTACAGGATTCATCTGTAGCTTAAGTTCTTGCGCATATTACACGGGTTTTCCGGTTGAATGATTTTAGCCGAGTTATCACACCGTACAATCAAATGGGCAGACAGCTGTACTAGCGTCGACAGCTGTACCAGTATATACATGTCGGCGCGGGGAATACAATTGACGTACGGTAAGTATTCATCTATTTTAACATATCCCAGCTGTGTTCGAGTAAATCAATGTTATGGATTCATAGTCAACATCCAAAGGAGCATGCTAACAAATTTCTGACCCTGTGCAAGCTTAACTTCTCGCGAATTTTGACTGAAAATAACCACACTATCCGATGAGATGCGGTATTTTTAGTTTAAAGTCACAAAAACTTATATTTTCTCATGATAATAAATCCTCTTTTCATACGATTCGTAAACGTCAACATTTCGCCATTAAATATTCCAAACCATACCTTCAAAAAAGCTTTTCTGTTAAAGTTATAAGGTATTTAAGTTTGAGTGTCATCATAATTTTAGTAACGTCATCAGCTGTTCGCCTCTTTTTAATGATAGCAAATCATCGGCAAGAATGAATGACGCTGAAAGCCGTTCAAAGAAACAATTTTCAGCGCTTTTGTGCTACAGTAACTAGGAACGAGTAAAACTTTTTTGTTCATTTAAAATATTACTTTATTCATGATACTTTCTAATTATATAATTTTTATCATTACTTTCTATTATTTGTTTGGCCTTTATCATTTACCGCACCAAGATCTATTTCAAGGACTCCACTAAGGTTTTTTGACATGACGGGACTGGAAATAATTTTTTGAGATTATTTCCCCATTTGATGTAGATCTATACTAATTTATTTCATGCTTTCCAGTGTTTTATTGGCGACGCCGGTGAGCGGCGTCGTCTTTTATGGAACGCTTTTTATTTTGGCCTATGGAAGGAGCTGTTATTATTAGCAGTTAATGTCATGTTGAGTTTATTAGTTTTATTTTGATTCGTAAAAATCAAGTAAACAAATATGTTGTTATATTTGTATTTAATAACTTTATGTAAAAAGCATGTGCATTGTGATATTATTGTCAGGAAATTGCAGGCTAAGTTTAACAGCTTGTCCCTTAGTTTTATTGACAATACTAAAACCCGGATTTCGAATATCGTTGTGGTCTACATTCATCATTCATTTATATATTTTCAAAATTTTCCTACAAGAGGAAAGTTCACCTGCAAATGAGTATAAGGATAGGTAATTAACTGTTGTTAACGATTATCCTATTGATTTTATCCATGTTACGTTTATCTGTTGCACAGAATGTTTGTTTTTACAAAGTGTACCAGTATCCGGATGTTGAACGCTATCCGATTTTCTGCAATTACTGCTGTCACATGGCCAACTATTTTTTATGAATACTTTACCATCAATTTGCATGGCTTATTAAAACTGAGGCTGCAACATTTCATAATTTTGCTGTTTAGGGTGTTCTCTTGTGTTTCAGGTTTTCTTTAAGGGGAAGTAACTCATATTTACTAAATTATTTGTTTTTTTCTGTCTTTCTTAGGTATTACTTACTAAAATTTACCAGTTGTAAGGTCATCAAAAGCATGTTAATGTAAGGATTTCATATTTATTTAATAGAACTGTAAATTATTAATGTTATGTGCATCTTAGTATATTGATATGATGAGACTTATAACATTTCTGAATTTAAAGAGTTACAGTTATGTCATTATTATTAAAGGGATGAAAATTCATTTAAAGTTATAAATGATAATACATGTATTGATTGAAAATGTCCTTAAACTTGGATAAAGCAATATAATTAATAAAGTCACCAAAAAATCATATTCTGAATAGTTATTCTAACTTTTTTCTAACATGTGCATAGTTTGAAAAGGACAGCTTCTGTCTAATCTGTTTGTAATGGAGGGACACCGGTCTCAACCTCCAGGTCTCCTGAGTCAACCCAACAACAGACTTTTCATAGAGTAGATTGTTTCTTGCCTTGAATAAATTTGTGCACTAAATTTTATAGTGGGTGATTTGTGCCACATGAAAACCAAATAATCAGACAAGCCACACAAACACGAACATTTAGTAATTTAATTTAATTGCAAACGTTTCGGCTATATGCCTTCATCAGTGCAAAACATAATAATCATAATAATTTTTTTTTTTTTTTTTTTTTTTTTTTTTTTTTTTTTTTACATGAAAACCAACATAGTACAAAAAGTAACCGGTCGCCAGATGAAAACATGAAAATACAATCTACCACAAAGTTGTTCGTTTTTTTGCATTTTCATGTTTTCGCCCGGTGCATAAAATTTCTTATCATAGACAAAAGGTTAGTTTTTGTATTTGTACAAAAAATAGATATAATTATATAGATATTGTACATGTATTAGCACAGTTATGTTCACTCTCAAAATTGACCTGTTATAAATAATGGCACAACCAATAACTGTCTAAGCCCTTTTTAGTAAAAATAATTATACAATAATACTTAAATTGTTACTTTAATTAAGACTATGAGTATGTAAGGTTTTTTTCTTATTTATTAATTAAGAATAAATTATCTGTTAATTTAAAAATCTACAAGTATCTGTCACGGTTTAGAACTGTTCACTATATTTAGGGGAGAAAATGTGTAAGCGGCCAGATAGCTTAATCGCTACAGCTTCGGTACATTAGTCTGTGGGTCACAGGTTCGAGTTCTGGTCAAGCTGAAAGGTTTTCTCATCCTGTGACTGCATATAAGCATGAGTTCAATTTATTATGCTCTGTAAACATAAGAAATTCAAGGACACAAATCAATATAGTGGGGAAATATGTTGTGGTTTAGAATTGTTTCATTATTAAAGAGAAAATGTGTAGCCAGCCGGATAGCTCAGTTGGTCTTCTGAAAGTCATGGGTTCGAGTCATGGTTAGGCAGTTCCAGTCAGGGTTTAGAAGTGGTTTTTCAAGTGACACGTGTTTGATTCATTTAGCAGATTGCATTAAATTTGAAATGGACAAAGGCAACATTGCATGATACTTTTAGATCTACAAAGGGCATTTGATACAGTTGATCACACTATACTGCACATGAAGAAGTTCTTTTTCTTCTTCTTCATGAAACTTCAAGCATCTGCCAATTATGTAATGACATTCTTACATGGTTTAAGTCTTATCTCTGATAGACAGCAGCTGGTGGATGTGGCTGGTACTCATTCTACTACTGCTCTGAGTACCTATGGTGTCCCCCTGATGTTCATTTTAGGTCCTCTTTTATGTCTTATATATGTCAATGACATGTCTGCAAACCTAAGCAATAAGCTTTTATTATATGCACAGGCACAAGTATCAGACCTGGGAAGAAAAAATATGACCAGATTGAAAAATAAACCTGTGTTCATCTTAAAAAGTGTCAAAAAAAAAAAACTATGTAAATAATGACCCCCTTTAAAAATATACTTTCAGTTAATAGTATATTTTTAAAGGGGGTCATTATTTACATTTTCTTTTTGGTTTTTATGATCAAATTTTTTTTATCAATCTGGTCATA